TGCACATTCATACCACTACGCACACCGACATATTGTTTTGTTTGCATTGCTCAGCGGGTAAATCTTTCTCCTCATCATAATACTGTGTGTGTATTCTTTCACATTTATTTTTATTGTTTATTTTACACACAGAAATACTAAAATATTTTACTGTTTTGTTTTGGTCGTATACGCGTATAAAATAATTCCATCTTTTCTTCTGCTATTCGTTAATAAAATATTGAAAACAATAACAGAACAAAAAGAAAATGAAAAAGGTACAAAGTAGATCTGAAACGAAATAAATGTGGAACATTGAGCAGCTCTTCTAATAAATGATACCTCTGAAAGAGAAATAAGTGGAACTTAAAATTATTTTTAGACCATTTCGCATGCTTTTTTAATAGATAAATTCACAACTGAAATTTTGAATACCAGAGAGATATTTAAAATACATACTCGTGATTATTCCTGAGCTTAGAAAAGGAATTTCCATATTTTTAAATTTTAAATATTTGCTTTTTAATATATTATACATTTTTTTTAAATGTTTTTATTCATTTGTTTTTATTATATTAATTTAAAAATGTATATGAAGTAAAGTAAAAAACTCGGCGTGTATGAGTTTGAGTAAATTGATGGTAAATTGTGGGAAATAGTAAATTATGTCGGTATGGCAGCGAATGTTGGTATTTACCAGAATTTCAAATAGGGTAAATTAGATAAAAATTAGGTGTTACCATTGTGAAAATTTTATAAGATGTTTAATAAATAAATAAATAAATTTGAAAACATTTAACCAAAAATAATAAATAAGTGCAATAAATAAATAAATAAATATTTACATAAGGGCAGTGCAAAAAATCCCTAGGAAATTTGTGTTGTACCAAAAAGGAACCAAAATATAAGAAATATATAAAAATATATGTATTTCAAAAAATAATATATATACAACTTGGGTTTGACTCAGTGAGGAGGCATATATTGTCTCGGCTCTCATGACTGAATTTAAATCATTTGTTTTTTTCTCTTACTCTCAGTTTCTTGATTTGCATTAAAAGCAACAACAATTTTGATTTTGACGTGCCCGTGACAGTCCACATAACTGTCACGGACCTTAAGGAACCGCAGTGGTCAGCATATAGAAATCGCTATAAGCCACAACTCCCCCATTGAAGTGAAATAATTACATAATTAAAAAACAAAATAAATAAATACTAAAGAAAATAAGTTCTAGTTTTACCAAATTTAGGATTAAAAATTAAAATAAAAATTTTTAAGAATGATTTTTAATTTAATTTTAATTTATTTTTAAAGTATTTTTCTATAAATTTTTAAGTGTGTAAAAATATTTCAAAAAATTATTAAATTTTGTAGAACTTTTTGAAAAACCATATAAAATACTTAAAAAGATGTGATCATTTTAACCAGTCTATATCTCTGGAACCTTTTAATATAGCTAAAAATGATTAAGAAATTTAATTTTTTCGTTGCAAAATTTCACATTATCGATATATATTTCAATAAAAAAATAATTAAAAAATTACGATGTATGCTGTTAAAAGATGGAATCAGTACTTTAAAGTCGTACCTCAATAATTTCAGCTTTTTTTTTAAATTCTTTCCATATCTTTATCCTTTACACTAAGTTGCTTGAAAATTATATAACCAATCTGATTCGAAAAAACTTTTCCAATACAATTAAGGGCCACTCTAATATATATTATCCCCCCTATATATTATTGATTTAATTCTATATTTACATTATTTTACTAATGTTTTAGTGTTTGTATTTTTGTCTTATAAAAAAACTTCTGGTACGCATACATTTCTATTAATAGGTTCCTCACAATTCTCGGATAAATTTTATATTTATTTTTATTTTTTTTTCTTATATTAATCTATATCCGCCTCATTTAATACTAATATGTTTTGATCTGCAAAGTCTATTTGGGTATTGTTTAGGTAAAGTTCTACAAAATTTAAATTAGTTAAAAGTAAAGAATTTAATGTGTCATTATCTACAGTTGATTCTAACTTAGGTAAAATTGTAGATAACGCTTTAAAAGCCTTCTCAATGGACACATGTGTAATTGGAACTGCCAGTGCTATGGAAGCAACTTTTTTAATATCATTGTCAAGTCGTGTAGTTACCCAAAAATTCAATATATCAGCATCGAGGGGAACCTTCTTCTGATTTGAGAGTGATGTAATTTTCTGCTTGAAGGTAAGATGTGTATTTGCTTTGTTAATGGACATCATTGACTGCATCATACGTTGTTCTAGTTTCGAATAAGTTGAACCGAAAGAGGTGGACGCCAAATCACATGAAACAAATGATGAAGTATTTGAAGAATTTGATTTCATTTTACAGTCTTCTGGTTGTGAAGCCTCCAACTTTTTAAGATTTGTAAAAGTTTTTAACAAATTTTCCTAAAACGATAATTGTTGTATATATTTTATAAGTATGTATATTCAATGAAATTTTTTGTAAAAATCAGAACTCACTATAGCTGTAGATTTTTGTTCTTCTGATAGCACAATTGAGTTTTCAAAATTGAAACGAGGATCAAGATACAGTGCTGCAAGGAAAGTGACATCGTCTAGAAACACCTTTTCTTTTCTTTTTTGCATGGATTCATGTAATATTGAGGCATATGGAGTAACTGAGAATAAATCTTCTAATTCTATTTCACAGCATAACCAATCTCTGTAGAAATCTCCTATAATATATTGTTCCGATTGCATTTTTTTTCTACATGTTACCAATGGATTGAAGGCAACTACAAAGTCTGTTATGAAATCCCAATTGATATCAATTATAATATCTTTCTGTATATGCCAAGTTTCTATTGTTTGTCTCGATTGTATGAAAGAAAATAACATTTCGTAAGTGGAATACCAATTTTGCAAATTATCTAGATTTGGAATTTGCACTTGAGAGTCACTTTCTTCAAATGTTTTTCTAAGCTGAATAACAATGTTCCTACATTTCTGGATTTCAATTTCTAGATTTTTAAGTACATCGTTAACCGCAAGTTGTATTGTATGGGCTATACTCTCACCAACAGATAAAACTGTGGAGAGTATTGAATGTATGTCCTCGTCAATATTTTCAACATAATTGCATTTTTCTTCAATAAATTCATCACAAATTTTTTCTTCTTTCACAGTGTGAATCATAGTACTTATTTGCGGCAAACATCCACAATTAGATTTACTGGCATAAATTTGGTTTATGTCTATTTGATAACTTTGCAGGCATTTGATAATCTCCTCTTTCAGATATATTGTCTGATCCTGTTGTTTACGATCTAACATAATGACACCTACAATATTTTCAATTATTTATTATAAATGTATAATTAATTATATATAAATAAATTATTTTACCTATCGTATTAATGCAGATTTGAAAGTCCTGTATGTAGTGAACATCAATTACAAGCATTTTGTAGTCCATTATTTTCACAACGTCGAAGTCTAGACATATCATTTTATTTTTAATACGTTCTCTTATTATTTGTTGTATTTTTACGGAGGAATTTTCAATCAATGAAACGATATTCTTTGAGTTAAGATTCGTGTTGAATTTCTTTTCATATGGTGCTATCAAGATTTTAAAAAACTCTTCATCATCGTATATACCAAAAGGTAGATTTTTGGCAGCTACTAATCCCACACAACATCTTAAGAATTTACTTTTATCGATATCAATACATATTCCTTCCTGGGTTTTACGCTCTTTCACTGGAGTCTCTACACATTCTTCTTTAGTCTTGCTTTGTGTTTCTTTCTTTCTCGGAATTTCGATGCTATGCACAATTTTATAGTGCCTTCTAATATTGGATGTAGTTGTACCACTTAAGGTTTTTTGACAATATAAACAAATAGTCCTATTGACATGTCTTAAAAATTTGTAGTATTTATCGGTGTCTGTTTTCATATTTTAATTTATTTTTATTAAACTCAACAAAACACAAAAAATTAATTCGCAAAAACGCCGGCTGACACTCATAAGTTCAAGTATATACTGACTTCTCTACACACGTAGACTCGTGAGTATGCACCAGAAGTGGTTTTTCATTTACTTGTCGTGTTCGTGTTCACTTCGTTTTGTTGGTTTGGTTTTCGGGTCGAGTGAATCATGAGTGGTTCATTTGTTCACAACTGTACAGTACTGTACGTCATACGCTGAGTTTACATACATACGCACACATAGATTACAAGCAAAACACAAACAGTTTGGAATGAAGGGAGAATAACTAGAAGGAAAAGAATTATGCAGGTAGCAAATATGTTCACTATATACAAAAAATGTTCAAAATTGCAGACCTTTAGGCCTGCATGTTTAAATTCAAAAAGTATTTAAAAATTCTCCTTTGCTTTGCACTTTCGGTCACAAACATTCATAATTCAATTGTATTCATCAACATTTTTGCTCTTTCTTTTGTGTTTATATACATATGTATGTATGTATGTATGTATACCTTATTTGTCTTAACAGATATATTAAGTTGCTCCTCCACGTGCAGTATTCTTTATTATTATTTTTATTGTTTTGTTTTGGTCATAATCGTATAATACCGTTCCATCTCCTTCTCTTGTTCGTGAGTTAAATGTTATTAAAAAAGACAACAAAACAAAAAGGAACTAAAAAAGGAACGCCGTGGATATGAAATTGAAGGCATGTGGAACATAAAACAGCTGTTCAAGTAAAACAAAAAAAAAACAATTCAAAAGAGAAATTAGTGGAGTTTAATTATATTTTAGACCATTTTTGCACGCTTCTATGGACAAAAGTTTGTGGGGAATTTTAGAGTCCCGATAGATCTCTGCCTAATAATCAAGATAAGATACATGAACGTGATTATCAATGGCTTCACTAAAAAGGATATTATTTTTGTCTTTACTAAAAATAAAATATATAAATTCCTGTTAAAAATGAAAAAACAAATTAATAAACTTAAAGATTTTAATGAAATAAATTTGAATGACAGAATTACCAAAATCTATTATAGCCTACATATAAAATTATTGGCAAAATATTGTGATAAATTAAGTACAATATTTTTACATTATATATAGCTAGACTTGTTATTGTATTCCGCAGAGATTTATCGAACAAATGAAATCAAGTAATTATGAAAGCGTACACATAGATTATGATGTGGGTAAGTAACGATAGCAGAAGAGAGGGGGCAGGAATATTTAGGACTAAGAATATATTGGGGCTGCATGTGGGATTTAAATTGAAGTTAACTAGGGTCCAAGCGGAAAACCCGAGCCACTCTAATGATTGTTGATTGGACTCAAATTTTTTGTGCATAGGTGCAGGAAAACAGATCGACAACATCATGGGTTTGAAGTTAGTGTAGACATTGAAAGTTGATGCATATAAGTGTGATAAGTTACTTGGGTATATACTGAGCTTAATTGAGCTAGGACAGTTGCTGCAAAGGTAAGGCGTTGTACTTCCTGGGAGATTTTAAGCTGGAGTCTAACGAAAGCTTTGTTGCCGTGCAACCGTGGTTTCGAAATGAATACTGTATCTGTATCTGTGTGCAGGACTGTTCCCGTTTATATTCGATCTCACTAATGTTGGTTCCATTACAAGAGATATTGATGTATTCGTAAAGTGAAGAGAGGGATCGACCAATGCATACAGTATGGATTTTCAACATGATGCCATTATTATTAGAAGTATTGACTTATTAGATATTAAATTTTATGAGGTACATATCTGTAAGTCCAAATAATACACCGCGGTCAACAATATTTAACTTTATTAGATACATATACCGAATAATCAACACCAGAATTTCAAGAATATATTTTGATTATGTATATTTACTGTCTTATACGAATATCATTTTTTATTAAGCCTTTATAATTTTTTTTCAAAAAACATCCAAATTTCTTATAAAGTTTATCACTTGCGAAGACTATTGATTATTAGTATTTGCTGTATGCTGTTTCTGCCGAAACAGCTATATGGTCAAATTAAAGGTCAATAAATTTTTAGGTAAAAATTCTACCTCGTCATGTTTCATTTTAAGTAAATTTTATTAATTCACTTCTTCAACGACAATTTTCTCTTTTACAAAATCTAAATGTACATTATTTACGTAAAGCTCTATAAAATTTAATTTAGTTAAAAGCAAAGTATTTAATGTGTTATTATCAAGTTTTGACTCGAAACTGTTTAAAATTGTAAATAATGCATTAAAAGCTTTCTCCATAGGCGTTTGCGTTATTGGAACTGACAGCACTACTGATGCTATCTTTTTAATATCATTATCATAGCCCGTAGTTTTCCAAAAATTCAATATGTCAGTATCGAGGGGAACCTTCTTTTGATTTGAGAGTAATGTTATCTTCTGTTTGCAGGTAAGGTGTCTATTAGCGTTGCTTATAGATGTCATTGACTGCATCATGCGTTGTTCCAGTTTTGAATAAGTTGATTCGGAAGAAGTTGAAGGTAGCACAAACAAAGATGATGACATATTTGGAGTATCTACTTCCATTTTTAGACTTTCTGGTTGTGAGTCTTCTAAATTTTTTAAAATTTCAAATGTTTTTAACAAATTTGCCTAAAAGTGAAATGGTATATACTTATACAAATGAGCATTATATTATGAATGGAAACTTACAATAGCTGTATATTTTTGTTCCTCAGATAGTACGATTGAATTTTCGAAATTAAAACGAGGATCAAGATATAGTGCTGCAAGAAAAGCGTCATCATCTAGAAATACCTTTTTACTTTTTTGCATTGATTCATGTAATAGTGAGGCATATGGTGTAATTGTGTTTAAATCTTCCAAATCTATCTCACAACATAACCAATCTCTGTAGAAATCGCCTATTACATATTGCTCTGTTTGCATTTTCTTTGTACAAGTAACAAATGGATTAAAAGCAACTACGAAGCTTGTGATAAAGTTCCAGTTGATATCAACAACGACATTTCTTTTAATATACCAATTTTCTATTACTTGTCTCGATTGTAATAAAGAAAACAACATTTCATATGTTGAGTACCAACGTCGAGAATCATCCAATTTTGGAAATTGTACTTGAGTATCATTTACTGGAAAAAAATTTTCTTGAAGTTGCTTCACAATATCTCTACACTCGTTTATATCAGCTTCCAGAACTTTTAATACACCATATGCTGCAAGCTGTATTGTATGAGCTATACTCTTACCCACTGATAATGCCATTGAGAGTATGGAGTGAATACTCTCGTCAGTCTTTTCAATATGACCACATTTTTCTTCCATAAATTCATTATAAATTTGTTTATATTTTAAATTGTGAGGTTGTGATAAGTTGTTTATTTGCAGTATGTTTCCACAATTATTGGATGTGCTGGAATAAATTTGGTCAACGCTTATTTGATAAATTTCAAGACATTTACTAATCTCTTCTTTCAGATATGCTGTCTGTTGACGTTGTTTAAGTTCCAACACAATAACACCTATAATAAAAATTCAGTAATTGATAAGTAGTTAATATGATATATTATATATAATATATGATATTTACCTATTGTATTAATGCAGATTTTAAAGTTCTCGATATAATGAACATTAATTACTATTATACCATCCCGATTTATTGCGGTTGCAATGTCGAATTCTAAACATATCATTTTATTTTTAATACGTTCTGTTATTATTTGTTGAATTTTTAGAGAGGAGAATTCAATCAATGAAACGATATTCTTTGAGTTTAGATTCGTGTTGAATTTCTTTTCATATGGTGCTATCAAGATTTTAAAAAACTCTTCATCATCGTATATACCAAAAGATAGATTTTTGGCAGCTACTAATCCCACACAACATCTTAAGAATTTATTTTTATCGATATCAATGTATATACCTTCCTGATTATGCTCTTTGGCTAGAGGTTCTACACGTTTTTCCGTGCCATTAATTTTTATATCATATTTTCTCGGAATTTCAATGCTATGTACGTCTTTATAATGTCTTTTGATATTGGATGTATTAATACCGTTTAACGTTTTTTGACAATGTAAGCAAATAATTTTATTGACATGCTTTAAAATTTTATAATATTTATCGGTATCTGTTTTCATCGTTAGAACTGTTCTTAATTTTTTTAATTTGGAGAAATAATAAAATAAATAACTGCAAAAATATACACAAACTTACACTGCAAAGCACAACAAAACACTGAGTTCTTGAAATACACGTTCGCGAGTATACACGAGAGATTTTTAGCTTTCGAGCTAATAAAAAATTACTTATTTATTATTTGTTCATGTTTAGTTCATTCCCTTCTAGCCATTTCCTTCGCGACTGGTTGCTACTCATATTCGGCACGAGTATTCATCGAATCATAAGCGGTTCATTTGCTTACAACAAAATTGCTTAAACAATACCTCAATGTACTCAATATATATGTATGTGTTTGTGTGTTGTATGATATATTAAATAGAAGAAGAGTCAAAGAAAAAAAAATTGTTTTGAATTTTTCAGCTGTTTGTTAAATTTTGTTGGGAAATTATTTGCTTTTCAGTTCGCAACTTCTAACTACTCGCAATGTATGAAAGCACTGACTGACGAGTTCTCTGCTTTGCGCACTCATTCTACACCACACTGATAGACATATGTGCATTTGTATTGTGCAGTGTTTTTGCTCTTTCTCATATTTGTGTTGATGTGCGTATGTGACGTTTATTTTGATAGAAAAATAGTTTTTATTTGTTGTGTTGTGTGTTAATTATATCGGAAATTGTTTATGAAAGATTTTATTTCAAACAATTTTCTTTTTAATATTTTTGTGAATATTTCAACGGTACTTAAACTTATTTGTGTTTTTATTTGTACTATTATTTTTTGACTGCAACAAATTGTTGCTTTTCAAATGCAATTTTGTTTAAAATCTATAATAAACATTGATTCGTACTGTAGTTGTTTACAGCTGCTTTGCTAGCCGAGTCGGTCTTTTGTGGGTACATTTATTTCAATTGATAATTAGAAATAATTTAGTGTTTCTTTTACAATGAATATTTGATTTTAGATTCTTTATTAATATAAAAATAAAATAAAATTGTGACTCCTAAAATGGAAAAATAAAGATTTGTAATTCATGTCTAAATATGCTATTTTTTAGCTCATAGTGTGTGTATAAGCAATAAGGGTAAGGGTAAAAAGTAAAAAAAAACCAAAAAAAGTTATAGTTTATAATGAAAATATCAATCAATGTGTGACTTAATATTTAGAATAATTTGTTGTTATTGTTTTTTCATGTGTATGTGCTTGTTTAGATTTTCCACCTTCCCTTGTTTGTTAATATAATTTTATTGAATAGAATAACATAACAAAACGAAATGAAAGAAGATAGCAAGCGAGGAGACCCAAATAGCAACTAATGAAAATACAACATATAGAACATATGCCATGTGGAACTTATTTAAGTAAACAAAAATTGAAAGAGAAACTAAAAAGAGAATATTGTGGAATTTAATTTTTAGACCATTTGATTTTTGTACAAACGTACTATAGATAAAATCGTCGCATGAATTTTATCTATAGGGGCGATCTAGACTTATATTTAGACCTTGTGCGAGTTCGAGTAAATTGATGGCAAATTGAGGGAAATAGTAAATTACGTCGGTATGGCAGCGAATATTGGTATATACGAGAATTTCGATTAGGGAAAATAAGATAAAAATTAGGTAAATTAGGTGTTACCATTGTGAACATTTTATAAGATATTGAATAAATAAATTTTAAAACTTTTAATCAAAAATAATAAATAACTGTAATAAATAAATAAATAAATAAATATTTGCATTACTGCAGTGCAAAAAATCCCTAGGAAATTTTAATTTACTTTACCTCAATTTACTTGAACTCGCATACGACCTTAAATGAGAATGCAAATATGAGTGCTATTTTTTCGCAAGTCTATTCCTAAGAAAAATAATTTTTACAAATATAAATTCTATATAAAATCATTATATTTTTTTAATAGATCTAAAAAAACAGTTTTGTTGAGGTATTTGGGACATCATTTTTTTTTTTCGTAAAATATCCTTTGCTTTGAAAGAGAAACGTAGTTAAATGTGTAGCAATTGCTTCAAAGGCTCAAGAATCAATGATCTTTATTTAAGACAGTGATTTACAAACATTTCCAGACTGTTAAATAAATATTGTAAATAAGCGTTTGAAAGGTTAGAAGTCGATCCATTTTTTGCTACAAATGTTTGCTCAACGCCCAAGCAAAATCGTTACATTTTGGATAGACAAGTTCAATGGTAATTCGAAGTTTAGTGCGGTTTATGGAATATATTTCATCAATTTATTATTATTTATGGATTAGGTTGCTTTACGAGACCATATTTTTTCAAAGACGAAAAAATTTTGTAACTATCAATTCGTTCCGATATTAAGGCATGTTGAACAATTTCTTGTTTGCCAAAGGTCGTGAAAATGGTCTGGAAGGTGTATGGTACCAACAAGATGGTACCACATGCTATAGTTCTGAAACAATTATGGACTTATAAATAATTATAGATTTATTATATTTAATAATATCAATTTATATAGATTATACAAATATATTTTTATCTTATTAAAAAGCTATAGACAAAGGGGTCGAGAAAGAGAAAACTGAAGATTTTTGAAGCAACTGGAGAAGTGTTAATCTCGCTTATGAAAGAAAGTAAAAAATAATGGAACACATAGATATAACATTATTAATAAAAAAAATAAAAGCCAAACCCGTACTCTGGGATAAATTTACGGAGACTTACATGGACAGGATTGCTACGAGAGATGCCTGGCGTGAGGTATGTGAAGCGCTTCACACAAACTTTAAAAGTCTTAGTATAAATGAACAAGCTACATTTCGTAAGTAAATTAACATATAAAACATAATTATTATTATATTATAATTTATGTATTAAATAAAATGTATGCTTTTGAATTCTGCCAATGTTCACTGTAGAAGCATTTTGTTAGTATTTGGTGTCGGTCCGATTCTTACGGTTTCATCTCTATTCAAATCTTTCAAACTTACCATAGACATTATATTTACGCGGTTTTAAACATTTCTGCTTAGAAAATATTACAGAACAGTATTTACATTTATAATGGCGATTGTATAGTCTATTTAAAAATGATTTTGACGACGAAAGAATACCCATTGATTGGTTTGAATTCAAAAAGCGCATTCGACATATCTGCTGTACGTGCCCCCTAATTAAAAATATCTTTTTATTTTTATTTTCGTTTTATATTAGGTGTAGAAGTATTCAAGAGGTGGAAAAATCTTCGAGACTGTTATTTAAAGCATAAGAATAAAAGAATTCAAGCGACAAAAAGAAACGGATCTGCACCAATAAGAATGAGAAAATATATATATGCTGATCAGTTGTCATTCCTGAACAAAATTTATGAAAAACGTAAAACGGTTGATTGCATGGATGAGAAGGAAGAAGATTCAAGTGAATCGTCATCAAGTGCTAAAACACCTACAAAGCATAAAAAAATGAATGAAGTTAGTACGCAAATTATAAAAACTGTAGAGGAAGAGAAACTTTGTTACAAAGCGACTTTCTTGAAAAGCCTTATGCTTCATCTAGAAAAATTTAATAATGCGGAATTTCTGCAGTTTCAAAGGGGAGCCTTAAATCTTATACAAAACATCAATGATATAAAGGAAAACTCATCTAATAGTCTTCATGTAACATCAACACGTTTTCAATTAAATCAACCTCTTTTGGACCCGTTAATTACTCCTGATCAAATTGAATCACCATCAATGAAATAGTTAGCTGTTTTATGATATTCCAACCAGTTCAATATTACAAAGGATAAGGAAAGCATCTATCCATTTACAGACAGACTGATAAAATGTTAAAATTTTTTATAATTTGTAACTTTTGTATAATATTTATAAATATATTTTTAAAAACATATATTTTAAGAAATCTGTTTATTATTCAGACAGCCTACTCAAGGCGTTTTTTTTTTTTAGATCCTTCTCAGATTACAAGACTCACCTGATACAAATTCACACAAGCCAGCTGCTCAAAATTAAGGATTAGTGCTGGTAGACTTCAGCATATTAGGAAGGCATGCAGTAGGTCTTCCCTTTAACCACTTTTATTAGTTTTGTGGCTTGGTGGATGAGAAAACTATTTTCCACTTCGGTGTCTATTATTAGCTATGAGAAGATTTAAAATCTGGATATCGGAGTTACAGGTCATTGCGTACTAGGAAGATATGCTATGAGACTTGGTCTACAGTATAAAGATATTTGTGACTCTGGAGAGAAGGAATTATCCGTGTTTTATCTTCATGGTAAATAGTGTCCACCTAACATCTTTTTTTACCAACCGGAAAAAGCCGTAATTTTGCAAAGTTAGCAACTTAGTTCAAGTTTCTGACTCTTTCGTGTGAATTGGGGAGTCTGTGTCTGCTTATGAACACCAATAATTCGAGAGCTGTTACTACAACTTAAACTCAACATGACTTTTTTGCTAATAAACTCTAAAAAGTTTCTTAAATTTTACCGATTATTTAATAGAATTCAGAGATATTTTAGTGTAATTAGTATTTCTTCTTGATCCATGATGTATTTATAAGATAGGTGAGTCGCGTTTTCTTATGTGAATGGCTACTACTGGTTTCTAGCTCTTACCTAATATATTCAATATGCTACAGAACAGCAGAAATATAAAATATGGTTTATCTAATTAAGTAACTTTTAAGGTATTACAGATTTTGTTATCGACTTAAATAAATTATATATAACGCTAACAGCTATGGCAATGTAATGATTTTCCGGAGGCTTGGATAATTTTGTTAGTACTTGTGATACAATATAGTATGATGTAATAATGCAAGGTTAGGTGTTTGAAGTGTTACCAACGGTGGACTAACTACATTTCATCCACACAATGGCTTTCGAATTTGTTAAATGCAAATCCGATGGACTATTCCATCTGGGCCAGTTCGGAGAGCAAGGTTAGGCCTACAAAATATTAAAAAATATGTCAGTATGGATTCGCTCAAGAAAGCCATTGATCAAGATCACATTCGTGAAGCATGTAACTAATTTTTATATCCTTTGAAAGACTTAGTCAAGGCAAAAGGTGTCCATAACGAGGTAGACTGAATGGATTTTAAAATTTTGATTATTTCCACAAATTTTTGTAATTTGAATCAATAAAAAATAATTTCACGCAAAAAAGATATTTCCGCTTGAGTATGTAACACTTCAATCGTCTAACCCTGTATATGTATCTAATATATAATATGTTTAAAATTTTAATCATACCATGTTTATATACTATGTTGATACGCAACTTAATTTCGTAAAAATTTAAATTTCATCTTCGTTTCAGCGAAGATTTCAAGTCGTTTTTTCCATACAAAGCCAATCAGTTTTAAGGTTAGAACGAAATTGAATGGTCTTTATTTCGTTGAAACAAGGGCTGAAATTAAAGGACAGTTCAAATGCAACTATGCGTAAGATAAATTTAAGCAAAAGATAAAGTTGAGATAACGAAAAAGTTAAAAACTTTTAATAGTGCAAATTTTTAAATTTAAATGTAAAGAAAACTGTAACTGTTATTAATTTAAAATAGAGTGAAACACAGTTATCCACATATCTGAAATCCACTAAAGTTAATAAAACTACTTAATGTAATCCTTTATAGTTATAATAACCAACTTTTAAAATTTCCCAGGTATAAATAGTGTTTGGAGCATGTAATTTTTAACATTCGATTTGTAAACAAAAAACATATGATTTCCTTAATTTGGGACAGTATGAACACTTTTGAAATGAACTTAATTTCATTTTACGAAATTAAGGAAATTTTGGGTGTCTGAACATAGTATAACATTTGATTTGTAAACAAAAAACATATGATTTCCTTAGTTTTGGGGCAGTATGAACACGCACATACATACACTTTCCAAATTAACTTAATTTCATTTTCACGAAATTAAGGAAATTTTGTCTGTCTGAATATAGTATAACATTTGATTTGTAAACAAAAAACATATGATTTCCTTAGTTTTGGGGCAGTATGAATACACACATACATACACTTTCCAAATTAACTTAATTTCATTTTTACGAAATTAAGGAAATTTTGTCTGTCTGAATATAGTATAACATTTGATTTGTTAACAAAAAACATAAGATTTCCTTAATTTGGGGCAATATCAATACTTTCAAAATTAACTTAATTTCATTTTTATGAAATTGAGGAAATTTGAATGTCTGAATATAGTATTAGTTCCCAAACGTCAACTGTTTACGTCAACCCTTTGGGGTTTCATTTTGACAGTTGTTACTTTTGCAATCTTTTTATTTGTTTACTTTTTTACAATAATTCTCAAATCATTTTCCTTTATATTATTTTTCTTTTAGTTTAACGTATTATGGCCGTGTGCGAGTTCGAGTAAATTGATGGTAAATTAAGGGAAATAGTAAATTATGTCTGTATGGCAGCGAATGTTGTATTTTCCAGAATTTCGATTAGGTTTAAATTAGATAAAATAGTAAACTAAGTGTACCTTTGTGGAAAATTTTATAAGTTGTTGAATAATAAGTAATAATAATAAATAATTTAAAAATTATAAGTAGTACTTGTTTTTAAATGAAGTTACTATGTCTTTATTAAGAAGTTTATTATTAATTATTTGTGTTTTAGTGGGAGTAGCTTTTTTAACATTATTGGAACGAAAAGTTTTAGGTTATATCCAGATTCGTAAAGGACCAAATAAAGTTGGTTTTATTGGAGTAGTTCAACCTTTTAGTGATGCAATTAAATTATTTACTAAAGAACAAACTTATCCTTTAATATCAAATTATATTTGTTATTATTATTCTCCTATTTTTTCATTATTTTTATCTTTATTGGTGTGAATATGTATACCTGTTTTAAGAAGATTATATTGTTTTAATTAATTTAAAACTTTTAACCAAAAATAATAAATAAATAAATAAATATTTACATAAGCGTAGTGCGAAAAATTCCTAGGAAATTCCTAGGCCTTAAACTATTATTATAGTACTATTAAACTATACTACTTAAACTATTATTTTATTATAACTATTATTAGTACTATCTGTTATATGTGTGTATGTATTTGGTCATTTTGGTTATATGTTTATTTATATTAAAGTATATTTGTTCTAGTTAAAATGTGACCCATCTCATCTTTTGGCGAGTTTACTAACATTTTAGTTTAAGTGTAAGCAGTAATAAACTGACAAAAAACAAAACAAAAATAAATGTTGTAAGGCGTAAAAAAGTATAGCTCTCAAATTCATACATAAGTTGAGTGCTCGAGAAAGATTTTATTTAATTGGCAACCTGTTGGCTGTGGCAGGCGCAACATAATTTTGAAATTGCATTCATTCACCGCAACAAATGTGTCAGAATAAATAATTTGTATGTGCACATTCTTATTCTAATCATTTATTTAAGACTCTTGTGGCATGCCGTAAGTATGTATGTATTTATGTACGTGTGTATGCATTTACACTCGTGGTGAAGTGAAGTTAATATAATAATATGAAAAAAATATATTTAATAAGTTTTTATTAGTGAACAAAATTAAATCATAATAAGTGTTAAATACTTAATTATTATTTATATTATTCTAGTATATTTTATTTTATTTTAGTTTAGTTTAATTATGCATCACTCACCTACCTGGTAAAAGCAATGACAATTTCTGCAGTGTAGTTTTTGCGCAAACGCGGAAATGTGTGCTGCCGCAATTTATGAAATTGTGCAGCAGCGCTGGGCTGCCTTTGGAGATTTTCTGTTTTGATGGCAATTGCAGTATGAGTTCGAAACGCCAACGTATGCGCTGACATACGACGTACGACATACGACGGTGCAAAGTGCATAATTTCGAATATTTAAATATATAGCATGTAGTGCGATAATAAATATGTGAACGCATACATAAACAGTGAAATTATATCAAATATGAGATTTTAAAAAATTTTCATTGTAATTAAAAAAAAAAAAATTACCATAAGAAAAATAGCCAAATAAATATACAAAAAAAAAATTATAAAAAAATAGTTAAATTTTATGTTGTTTTTGCTGATGATTTTTGAGTGAATTCCGCACGAATGAAGTTGTAAAAAGAAATAAATCAATTAAATCAAAATCATTAATTATTAACCATATATGTATGTATGTATGTTTGTATGCATATCATATACAAAATAAAAAAAATATTAGTAAGTAAATTGCTGGAAAAAAGAAAATTATGAATAAATATGTGCATTTTTATTTGAATGAAAATAAATATTCAAATAATTTTTATTTGAAATAAAACAAATAATTTTTTTTTAAAATAATTTTTTCATGGCATTGTTAATATAATGTTGAATTAATTGTTAATTGTTTTTTTTATATTTAAACTTTTAAATGAATTTATTCAGAAAAGTGCATTATCGATTTTTCCCAAGGTTATTTTCTGTATAATGTGGGGGCGGTCAGTGCTCGTATACGAATTGTACAAAATGTTTATTTGGGCAAAAAGATTTTCCGTTCCTCTATTCTTACTTTTGTATTCCTCTTTATTGTTGTTATTGCGTACACTATACGCAAAAATTCGGTTAACTCAAGAGTTTAGCAACACACACACACACACA